CTGTCCGCTTTGTGAAGTGGCCACCACTGCACCTAGTGACCTGCTGTAACCCCAGGGCTGCACACGGTGGGACCGGGACTAAACTCGGAGACCTCTAGGCGTGCTGAGTCGGCTGTAGCCCCCGCAATTCACGATGGGTTTGGCAGCAGGGAGTAACCACCACGGACACTGCTGCACTCCGGGCACGCAGTGTGTCATGTTATTCGTCTGGTGCGGACTGTGCCCCTGGGGTGGGGCCACCGCCGTGACCGCGCGGACTCTGCTCCCCGCGCGTCTGCTCCCCCGTTCCTGAGGCCACCAGCCTCTCAGGACCACCTGTCTCTGCTCTGCCCTTTGACCCTGGAGGGTACACAGCCGGCATGTCTGGGACTCGGCGTGTTTATCTGTTCAATGAAGATGAGGATGTGGTGCAGGGAAGTGTGGCAGGTGGGCTCCTTCCCGCTCTTTGCTGGGAACACCCGGCCCCCAGTCTGTCTGCAGAGAAAGTTGGGTTCTGATGTATAAACACCCTCATAAGCAGATCTCTTAAGCTGAGTCCCTTGTCCGTCTGTGTTCCTTTGAAGTGAGGTTGGTCTCAATACGAGCGGCGTTCTCCAGCCTGTATCGTGTCATTTCTCCTGTTTCTAACTCTATCGTCATCAGTTTTAAAAAGAACGGTAATACGCACGCGCATAGATAGGAAACGGCCTCGGAGAAGGGCCCTCGGGCCTGGGACCACGCCCTCAAAGTCTTGCTTTGAGCGGGAAGCTGGTGCTGGCCACTGGCGCAGGGCGTGGTGCCCGGGGTCCTGCACTGGGGGCGGGGAGCTCGTGGGCAGGACTGGGGGCAGCCGCAGAAGGCCAGTGAAGGTGCCCCAGTGGGGTAAAGTGGCCTCTGCTCTTCTTGGCTTTCTAGGATCCCAGGGCGACCGTGGTGGAGGTCAGGTCCAAGGCAAAGAGCAAGTGGAGGCCTCAAGCTCTGGACACTGTGGTATGTCTGGGGGCTGGGGGGGTGCTGGGCCAGAGCCCCAGGAGCTCCACTGCAGACGGTGCCCAGTGGTGGGCCACCTCGCTCTTACTGGTGCTGCGTGGACGCCCTGAGGGAAAACAAGCCCCCAGAGCGCGGCCGGCTTGGCCTGTTGACAAGGTAGCAAATGCAGCATGACTGCTTTACGCGGGGCTTAGGAAACAGAGGAAGAGGTCGTCTGTCACCTTGCCCTCCCTCCGTAACTGCTGAGGTAACTCTGGTGTCTTCCTCCATTTTATTCCGTGCCATTTTTTACGGCATTATAATTGGAATAGCTTAGTTTTTTTCCACCTCATTTTTTTTTTAATGCTTCTGCATCATCCACATAACCTTCATTTTAAACATCCACTTCATGAGCCTACCCTAGAATAGGGCTTCTCAAGTTTTTGGCCCCAGGAAGAGACACCCATTGGGACTCAGGGTGCCCCTTTCCAGTCACCGCTGTGCAGGAAAATCTGGGTGCAGTTACTGTGGGGTGGCTCTGGAGGATGGATGCGCAGAATGTTCAGGGCCATCCTCTCAGGGTATGTGGGGGGGGCGTGGTGAGGGGTGATGGGGGACAGTTATGGGTTGGTTGCACACAGTGGGCTGTTTTATCCCTCACTGGTTAACATGCTTTGACATGTAGCCAGCAGCATTGTCGGGGTGTCACCAAGGGGAAGGGACAGCTGGTTGTCCCCAAGGGTAAGGGGGTTCATCACCCAGGGGAACATCCCGGGGTTCGTCACCCAGGGGAACATCCCAGGGTTCGGGTGGCGTTCCCAAAGTGCGGCTCTCAGATTGCCGGTATTACAGTCACCATATTAGACACTTGTGGAAAGTGCTATTTCTGGCCCGTCTCCCAGCCCTCCTCTGTCAGCATCCCCGGTGCTCGGGGCCCAGGGACCTGCTTGCTTCCTGGTGAATCTTGCTTCTGCACCTCACAGTCTGAGGACCCAGGGCCCAGGTCTGGCTCTGCCTAGCAGGCCGGGAACTCTCTCTTCGGCACAGCCTTTGAGACACGTGTGAGGACAGCTGGGGCACGGGGCCAGACGGCTCTGAGGAGGAGGAAATGACGTGTCATGCCCTCTGACTCACGCCCTGTGACCTCACACACTTGTCCACACATTTAACAGGAGCTTGAGAAGCTGGCTTCTCGGAAGTTGAGGATAAATGCTAAGGAAACCATGAGGATTGCTGAAAGGCTCTACACTCAGGGGTAAGTATTAGTGTGTGTTTGGGCGTGGAGTTCAATGCATCGGTATCTGGGTGAGATATTTTAGAAACAGAGCCCGTGGGAACACAGACTGTCTAGAAATGACTTGAGCCCAGAGTAGGAGAATTCTGGCACTGGCTTCTCTCTTCTGATGCAGGATCACTTACCTCCTCCCGTGAGAGCCCGCGGGGTACATTCATGTCCTGCTCTCGACCTCTCAGCAGACAGGGTGCTGCCAGGGTGGGCCACTCCTTCAGGAGTTGTTTGCCTGCCATGAACCATCCAGCTAGGGTCAGGAGCACCCAGCGCCATCCGGGGACAGCATGGTCCACACTGCCCAGTGTGGCCACTGTTGAGCACGTGGTTTGGGTTGTCCGAACTGAGAGGTGCTGCAGGTGTCAACGTGTAGTGGGTTTCGAAGTTGCAGATGAGAGAGGATGTAAGTGGTCCCAGGAGTGTTTAAGTGGCTAATAGAACATTGAAGATTACACTCAGGGCCCACATTGTAGTTCTTGGGCAGTGTCATGGAGCACACGCTGCTGCGGCGGTCAGGGCCGCAGGCGCATCCTGGGGTGGTTCTGTCACTGAAGTGGGGAGCCCGGGAGGGCCCCAGGGCCAGGGCTGCAGGAGTGCCGGGCAGCCCCGCACCCGCTGGGAGTCACACCTTGGGTCTCTCCCCGGCAAGGTGAAGTCCTTACCTCCAGGCTGGCTCAGACTGGCTGCAGCTGGTGTCACCAGTGTTTTCAAGCTAATTCTGACATTTACAGGTAGATTTAGCGATTTCTCGTTCTGTTTGTTTGGCTTTGTTTTAGGTACATCAGCTATCCCCGAACTGAAACAAACATTTTCCCCAAAGACTTAAACTTGACTGTGCTGGTGGAGCAGCAGACCCCGGATCCGCGCTGGGGGGCCTTTGCCCGGAACATTCTAGAGCGGGGTGGCCCCACCCCACGCAATGGGAACAAGTCTGACCAAGCTCACCCTCCCATCCACCCCACCAAGTACACGGACAGCTTGCAGGTTGGTTTCCGCAGTGGGCTCTGTTCCATGCAGCCCTCACTCCTCCGGCCCCGCCCTGAGCTGCTTCCCTGACCCTCTGCACACAGCAGGCAGCCTGTTCCCTGAGCGCCTACAAAGCCCCCGCACCTGGCTCGGTTTCAGTTTCTGTCGCCTTCCCGAAACCTCAGGGCCACCTCTGGGCCCGCTCCGGCCCCATGGGCCTCCCCACGGCCTGCTCCCCAGCCCATCATCCGCGCCTGCCATCCGCTCCTCTGGGCTCCCGCTCTGGGGCCCCGGCTGCAGACTTACCATCTTGTTGCTCCTGATTCCAGAAGTGATACATGTTTATTTCAGGCCGTCTACAAAATAAAAAGATCATAGGGAAGGGAAAGTGGGCTGTAATCTCACTGCCTCCTACCGAGAACCCCATTTTTCTCTGTGTGTATTTAATTTTCTTACAATTAAATTGTAATCTTAAGCAGCTTTGTAAACTGCTTGTTTCATCTTGTATCACGAGTATAACCGCATATGCTGAAGTGTTTTAGTGATACTTGATGATTGCATAGATCCGTTGAAGTTATCTTGCCGAATCTGTTTTTGAAAGATTAAGTCGTTTCCGACTGTTTGCCACGTGGTACACCGTAGTCAGCGCCTGACTGGCTAGCTGCGGGGCCCCCTCCCCCCGGCGCAGATGTGCTCGGGAGGCTGCTGGCCGCGAGAGTGCGCTCTGTGGGCCCTGTAGCTGGAGCCTCACTCAGTCCGCGATCACAGGGTTGGCGGCAAGTCCCTACGAGCCCTGTGCTCCCAGAGTTGGTCTGAGGCCGCCGCACCTTCACCCTGTGTGTCTCCAGACAAGGGGTCTGTCAGTAACTCTTACGCTTTTGCCTTGCTTTCTGCCTAGACAGGGTTTATACCCTGGAACTCCCTTGCCTGCTTCTGCCCGACGAGGGTGGTGAGGCTCACGGACACAGACCCACAGCTCGCAGGGGATCTGCCCGCCCTGGGCGTTGGCAGGCCGGGAGCTGTGTGCGCGATGACGCGGGGCCCCGGGCTTGGGCAAGGCTGTGTGCGGGGGCTCAGCTCCCTCTCCTCGCAGGGCAACGAGTGGCGGCTGTATGAGCTCATCGTCCGCCACTTCCTGGCCTGCTGCTCCCGGGACGCCCAGGGCCAGGAGACCACCGTGGACATCGACATCGCGCGTGAGCGCTTCGTGGCCCACGGACTGGTGATTCTGGCCCGGAACTACCTGGACGTGTACCCCTACGACCACTGGAGCGACAAGGTGGGAAGGCACAGGTCCGGGCAGGGGCCTGGGCCTCGGGGTGGGGGGTGGCGGGGAGACAGGTGTGTTGCCAGTCCGGGGGTTGGAGCGGAGCTGGGGTCTGGGCCGAGTGCCAAGCGGGGGTCTGACCGATGCGTCTGCTGCCCCTGTAGACCCTCCCCGTCTACGAGCAAGGCTCTCGCTTTCAGCCCAGCACCGTGGAGCTGGTGGATGGGGAGACCAGCCCACCGCAGCTGCTCACTGAGGCCGACCTCATTGCCCTCATGGAGAAGCACGGCATCGGTCAGTGGTCGCTGGGGGTTGGGGGGCCGCATCTCTCCGTCTTCCCTGCAGCTCTCCTGTGGGGCCGTGCTCTTCTCCCCGCTGGCATGAAGTGAGGCTTAGGGAAGGGAAGAACTCGTGATTAAGGTCACAGAGTGCGTGAGTGAGGAGAACCTGGGCCCAGGTAACTCGCAGATGATGCCCTTAACCACGGCTCTGCACCATCCACGCGCGGACGTAGCTGTTTCTGTCACTCAGGGGTCTCAATGGGGGGCCGTCCTGCTCTGGTCCTGTCCAGAGACTCAGTATTTTTGGTCTACATAAGAGTTTGTTGTTTTTATTTTATTTTTAACAAGGTACTAACGTTTAAAGTATCAGGAGGTCTGGCAGTCCTCGCCCTCACCCAGGGGACGATGGGTGGGCTTGGAGTGGTGGCCGTTCTCTGTCCCTCATACTTGGCTTCGCTCACTGGCCCGACACACGCCAGGCCCCATGGAGTCCGAGTCTGCCACCCTTCCAGGGCCGAGGGCGGTCATGTGCTCAGTTTTTGTTCAAGCATCTCCCATAATTGTTCAAGAGTCAGAAAAAAAAATTTTTTAAAGGGTGGGTGGGTGCAGAATTATTTTCCCCAGTAAGTCCCATGGCCCAGGCTTTACAGATGGGCCCCCTATGGCTGATCTGCTGTCCCCTCAGTGTTCACCAGAGCTCTTGGGACCGTCTCTGGCAGCAAGTCCAGGGGGTCTGGCCCGGGGGGCGGGGCGGGTCCGGAGGCACCCCGTTCGCTCCGCACACAGCACTGCGCTGCACGGTGAGTGCTGTGTCCTGTGACCCAGGAGGACGTGCCCCTCCCTGGGGCCTGCCACCATCACTGTGCCTTCCAGACAGCCTGTGATTTAGGCAGACTTACAGGTAGTTCACTCAGCGTAACTTGTTTATAAAAAATAACAAATTGTGTTCTGGGGACACAAGAGTAATGGAGCCTAGTCTTCCCTTCAAGGGCTCGTCAAGTGGTAGAAGCGAGTCAAACCCTGTGTTAGATGCGGCTGGTGGGGGCGGTTCACTCCTGGTGAACGAAGGCAGAGCCAGCGGAGGCGGGGCCGGGGGATGGGGTGCACGTGCTGTTGGCGGGGAGCGGGGTCTGGAAGGCGAGACCAGGAACAGGATTTGAGCCCAGCTCGGCGGGGCCTGGTGCATTTGGCTGAGGGCCTTGGGTGTGGTCCCGCGGTCAGCAGAGAGCAGGCTGAGATTTCCAAGAAAGCAGCACAGAGCTGCGTTTTAAGAGAATGGTAACAGCTTCGCTGAGACTGAATTTGCGTGCCATGTGGTTCACTGAGGCTCCATGCACACAGTTCAGTGTTCAGTAGACTCTCCTCGGTCAACACTGGGACACTTTCACACCCATTAGCGGTCATGGCCCTCGCCCACGCCCCTCCTCTGCAGCCCCCAGCCCTGGGCAGTCGCTCATCTTTTTGGCTCAGTAGATGGCCTGTCTTGGACATTCCTTACAAACGGACGTTCATGGCCTTCGTGCCTGGAGTCTCATGCTGCACGTCCCCAGGCGCGTCAAGGCTGTAGCGTCTCAGTGCTTCCTTCCTGTTCCTTCCCAAATCCTCTTCCATCGTGTGGGGACCTCGTTTCCTTTACCTGTTCATCCTCTCGCGGGCGTCTGGGTCGTTTCTACCTGTTGGCTGCTGTGAACACGTCCGGACAGGTTTTTGGTGGATGGGCCTCAGTTCTGCTGGGCCCACGCGTAGGAGCAGGCTCGCTGGGCCCTTTGGTGACTGACGTTTTGAGGCACCGCAGACTGTCTTCTACGGCAGCCATACCATCTTGGAATCTGCCAGCACTGTGTGCGGGCTGAGGTTTCTCCACGCCCGCCCCGGGGTTTGTTTTCTTCTGCTTGGTTACACTCATCCACGTGAGCGTGAACGGCTGTTTCTCTGTGGTTGTGATTTGCATTTCCTTGACAGCAGAGCTGCATCTTAGAAGCTCCCCTCGGTCAGAGCATAAAAAGCGGGGTGGGCAGGGGAGGAAACGGGCGCTGTGATGAAGCGGATGAGAGGCGGGGGGCTCTGACCCGTGGGTGGGACACAGGGAATTTCAGAGCCGGAATTGGCAGCTTGAGGGAGTAAGTGGGTGCTGAGGAGAGGCAAGGTGGCCCTTGTGGTTTTGTCATGGGCCAGATGTGAGTGGAGGTGCCACCTGGAATGGGGATCCAGGTGGAGATGGGGCCCTGGGGAGTGCAGATCAGCTGAGTAACCAGGAGGGGCCCGCAGGCACGGACGCCACGCACGCGGAGCACATCGAGACCATCAAGGCCCGGATGTACGTTGGGCTCACGGCGGACAAACGCTTCCTCCCCGGGCACCTGGGCATGGGGCTCGTGGAAGGTGAGAAGGCGGGGCCTGCGGGGGTGGGGGGGTCACTGAGGCTTCCAGGCGTGTCCGGGCCACACTGGATGCTGCGCTCTGCCCACAGGTTATGACTCCATGGGCTACGAGATGTCCAAGCCTGACCTGCGGGCCGAGCTGGAGGCTGACCTGAAGCTCATCTGTGAGGGGAAGAAGGACAAGTGTGCTGTCCTGCAGCAGCAGGTCCAGAAGTACAAGCAGGTGTTCATCGAGGCGGTGGCCAAAGCCGAGAAGTGAGTGCCGGGCCTGCTCTCCCACAATCCTGTCTGCTCCCCACGCCCCCTCCAGGCCTCCCTTCCCCAGAGCCTGGCAGTGCAGGAGCAGGAACCAGGAAGGCCCGGTTCACTCCTCTGGGGCTGCTGGCCCTCAGGTTGCCGACCTCTCGATTTCAGTTCTGCCTTCAGTTAGGAGGCTGCACAGTCTCGTGCGTCAGTAACCGTGCTGGCGTGCGACCACTGCCCTCTGCAATGTTTAGAGATGGCTGGGACAGACAGTGTGTGTTTTCCTTTAGAGAAAACGCATTTCCCAGCTGGTGCCAATTTTGAAAAGAAATGCGTGAGCTGTTGAAACTTGGATCCAGATAGACCAGTGTGTGTGAACCCTGTGCGGTTGTGCATCTGAGGCGGGGTCCCCCCAAGAGCTGCGGGGGCCAGCCCAGCTTCCCGCCTGCCCCATTCTCCGTGTCAGGCCTGCGGCTGAGCAGCCCGTGGGTGCCTCGGGTCACGGTCGTGTGCTGTGCACGTAAGGATGCCATCTTGTGCCATTTCCTCAGGTTGGATGAGGCCTTGTCCCAGTACTTCGGGGAAGCGGCAGCGGCGGCCCAGCAAGAAGCCCTGTACCCGGCTGTGCCAGAGCCCGTCAGGAAGTGCCCGCAGTGCGGCAAGGACATGGTCCTCAAGACCCGGAGGGGCGGCGGGTCAGTGTCCGGCTGTGCCCCTCTGCCTGCCAGCCTGGCTGGATGCCCTCTGCAGGGCGTGCTGCTGTTCGTAAGGGCAGGGCTGCTTTTCCAGCCCTGGTAAAGGTGTTAGGAATGGGACAGTGGCCACGGAGGTGTGAGGCTGGGAACTCAGAGGAGGGGCTGGTGGGGCAGGGCGTGTGTCCCCTGCGGGTAGACATTGCGCAGCTGGTGTGTGGAGAGCAACGGACCCCACTGGTGCCCCGCACGGGCCTTGGGCCCCAAGGCGGGTTACTACCCACTCTGAGCCCCGGTGTCCTCCTCCAGCATCTCCCTCGGGCTGTGAGGCAGGTGGGGACAGAGGTTTCCTGTGGTTCATGCAGCCTTGGCAGGTATCCAGGCCACTGCATACCGGGGCTGGCTCAGAGAGCAGGGCTGCTGGTGGCGCCCTCCATGGGTCCTGAGGGTGGGAGCGCTCAGCCCCCGGCACTGCACTGCCACGGTGGTTTGTGAGTAAGGGGGCCACTCACTGTCGGAGACCGTGTCCCGCACAACCACCAGTGTCTCCTTTCGTCACTGAAGACCTTTCTTCGCCAGACGCAAGGTGCCTCCCGACAGTTCCCGGGGGCTGGCGGCTCCGGCCTGACCCCAGCCGTCCTCCCCAGGTTCTACCTCAGCTGCACGGGCTTCCCGGAGTGCCGGTCGGCTGTGTGGTTCCCCGACACCGTGCTGGAGGCCAGCAGGGATGGGAGTACGTGTCCTGTGTGTCAGCCGCAGCCCGTTTACAGGTGAGCCAGTGCAGGACAGAGCACAGCTGGGCATCTCCCACGGCCCTAATTCTTTGGCACCTCGGGGGTCGCTCGGCACCTAACTCTGTTCTCATCCGGTCGCTGCCGTTGTGTGTGTGGAAGCCAGCCCTGGAGGTCCTAGGGGAGCCCACCCTTCCCCTGCCCTCACCCGCCGGTTGTGCCGAGGCTGGGGACGGCCGTGTCCAGGAAGCCCAGAGCCCTCGTGGACGCCTCAGTACAGAACTGGTGCTGTCGGAAGTCACGGGGGACCCCAAAGGGCTCTTCTCGTGGGCTGTGTTTATTGGGCTTCGCCACGTCCTGGAGGGGAGGGGGGAGCTCAGTGGTAGAGCACATGCTAATGTGTATGAGGCCCCCGGTTCAGGCCCCAGCACCACTGGTAGAAACAAAACAAACACCACGAAGGTTTATGTTCTAAATGAAACCAGAGGTATCTTTCAAAACACGCATTAATGTGTTTATAACATGCAGTGTATGTTAACGTCAATAAGCATGTTTTTAGGATAAAATGTACCTATTTTCCAAGGCAAAAAAATAAGAATGCATTGTTTTCCGTTTTTGCCAGTTTAACCTCTGGCTCCCTAGGAGAAGCGGGGCTCTCACCTGCGCACCTGTAGTCAGCCTGTTGGGTTTACTGCCTGTGCTGGGGCCTCTGGAGGGTCTAGCGCCCATGCATGGGGCAGCGAGAGCAGAGACGCGCTTCTCAGCCAGTCACCAAGCAGCGTAGCCTTGTGCAGGGCCCAGCGGCCCCCAGAGGCCCTGGGCCACACTGACCTGCGGGCACAGGAAGAGCCTGTCAGAGGCTCTGCTATTTTGGCCATTAATTGGGGTCTTGGAGTTTACCTCCTCCCACTCTGCACCCTTGTGACGACCGAGGGGCTGGGGTTGGTGTGCTTGGGTGGGTTTCCTGGGCAGGGGGCTGGCCTGGGAGGCTTGGGGTGGGCCCAGCCCTCCGAGGGCCAAGGAGAAGACTGTCGCACCCCGGTGGGTAATTTTTTTTTATCATTTTCTGGCCTCGCTAGGTTGAAGTTAAAGTTTAAACGTGGCAGCCTTCCCCCGACCATGCCTCTAGAGTTTGTCGGCTGCGTCGGCGGCTGTGATGAGACCTTGAGGGAGGTCCTGGACCTCAGGTTTTCACGGGGGCCCCCCAGAGCCTCCCAGCCAGCCCGCCAGCCCCCCGGCTACCTGCAGGCAAGCCAAGCCCTAGACAGAACGGACGGCAACCAGCCCAGCCACCCCCAGCCTCCCGGCACCAGGCCAGCCAGGCCCTCAAGGCCTCTGGCCGGGGCCCTGCCTTCGCCCGCTGCTGGTGGTGACAGCAACTCGGTGACCTGCAACTGCGGCCAGGAGGCGCTGCTGCTCACTGTGCGGAAGGAGGGGCCCAACCAGGGCCGGCAGTTCTACAAGTGTGGCAGCGGGGGCTGCAGCTTCTTCCTGTGGGCCGACAGCGGCCGGCCAGATGCAGGCGGGCCTCCATCCTTGGCGCCCAGGCCCTGGGGCGGCCCAGGGAACCCCCGGGGACTCTTGGCGACAGTGGTGGCGGCACGTCCTGCCTGTGCAGCCAGCCGGCCGTCACCCGCACGGTGCAAAAGGATGGGCCCAACAGGG